TTACCACAAACAACTCAGTTCTCATTTGATTAAGCCCCTATATATATATATATATATATATATATATATATTTATTTATCATATTATGCATATATCCCTATGCATAAAATGCACATACTCACATATTAAATTCATGTAAGCATGCATCCATATAAACAATTAATTCATATAATAAATACCTTGGATAATAACCAGGACCCGTTTATCACACAAACGTATGTCATTCCCTACGTGTCATTCGTACCGGAAATCAACATCAACATCAACATCTTGGGTATGAAACAACTCATACTCTAGGGGTTCGAGGTTGATGTGGGTAATTTAAAATGTAAAATTACTCACATGTGTGATGACCATAAAAAGGAAAAGAAAAACAACCTCAAGGAGGAAAAGGAAGGCAAGCAAGGGTCGATGAATCCAGACTCGAAGTCTGATGGCAAAGGGAAGAAACCAATCCTCAAAGAAGAAACGACTGAAATCCGTGGGAATTTTGTACCAGTTCAAATAAGAACCCTTGACGACTTTACCACGATTATGTTCATGGTTAAACGTGATCAAATCGCTTATAAAATTAAGTATTTCTTCGCAAAGAAGTTCGATGAGGCGCTAGGTTGGTTCTTTAAAATCGAAGAGGGTGAAGAGATCATGTTACCAGCAAAGGTATCTGGTATGAAGGTTTGTTTATTTGATCTTTACAAGTTAATTATTGGATATGGAGGACACGAAATCATTATAGTGGAAGATAAATGGAATGAGATCGCGATGAGTTTTGGCTTTCCGGAATGCTACGGTGAAGCATTCAACAAGTTATTCATTGACTATCTATTGCGTGGTCGAGTATCAAGAATCAGAAGATCGGTAGGTTGACCGACAAGGTTCGAGACAAAACAGAACGTCCGTCTGATAAGAGCGTAGGTATCAGTTGGTGGAGGGAATGGTCAGGAAGACCGGAATGCTACTTCAGTTCAAACCAGAAGCTGCAAGGACTTAGATGGGGAAGAAATAGAAGATGAGGATCCAAGCATAGAAGGCTATTATTTAGAAGAAGACAAAGACCCAAGCGATGATTCAGTTGGAAACGAAGATTTCATGGTTGTGCTGTGAAGATCAAAGATTCAAAGCTGCCCAAAATGTTTTGACATTTAGGAGGGAGTGTTGGAAAAATTAAATGTCAAAACTTAGGATTAATTATAGGTTTATTACTATTTAATTATAAATAAAGTGGGTCATGGGACACCTCATATGTAATGCTGGCAGGTAGTTTTCTTAAGGAGTTATGGACGTCGGTTATGGCACCCCATGCCAACCGACATGATGATCATATTGGCACCGATTCATCATGTATAAATACATTGATCAGTTGTTTTGTTGAATATACTCTCTTCAATATATGCAATTTGTTATCCTTCCCTAAATTACATCCTTATTCTTATAAGGTGTGTGTGTGTGTTAGTTCGATACTACAATGGGTTTTTCCACATCTAAGAATCTCGATCATGAGATCACTAACGGAGAAGGTTCTAAATCGAAACACTCAAATGTTTCGATGTCAAAGCCTTCATCCCGAACATTTTATGACCGCCATAATCATGCTAAAACTGTAAAAGATTTTTATTACTTTAAAAGAAAGTACCACTTACATTAGAATTGTTTTAGAGTTTTGTTTTGCCAACTCTCATATTGGATTGGATGTAGATACCAGATATTAGACATACACTTCTTTGAGCTATTTAATTTGTCACCTAAAATCCCTCTTCCCATTTAATTGGTAATTCTAATTTTCTTTTCTGCCTTTTTTTTTGGTCCTTGCTTACTGTTTTCTTCTATGGTTCCATATACATTTCTGATTTATTAATGATCTTCAAAAAGGAAAAACCATAAGCTACAAAACACGTCACATCCCTTGCTAATTAAGAAGAGAATAAAATTAAAAATGAAAAACTTATTTTAGAAAAGTTCTCTCAACTTTCTTCTCCTCTCTTCAAAAGTCAACATCTAGACCCAAAAAAACTTGAAACCTTACCAAGGAATGAGACAACTTATTGGCCACCCTGAATTTGTGGATGTAATACATGCTTTTGGACTAGTGAGTACCACATGGCACAACTCTCCTCTCTCTCTGGCCGATCTCTTTCCTCGTTTCCTCCATCATCCTTTTGTGGGTGTATTGGAATTCACAACAACACCAACAACAATTGTGTCATTATTCATGACAAGAAAGAACCTTCTTTGCAATTAATCTGAGCATGTATTTGGATAGATCAAAGGGTTATGATATTAGGGCTTTCTTCACAATTCTCATTTGTTTCCATTTGATCGCTAAAGATGAATAGGATATCGTGTCATCTTCTTCCTCATCTCCATTTACATCTCATGAGGAGACTTACCCACGAAAGGTACAGTTGCTTTCGAGTGTCCGATGGTTGTAGCATCGATAGATATAATATGTTCATGGTCAAGTGACGATTATATGCGAAAAGGGATCTTTTCATACTTTTCTTGAAAGAAACACAATCTTTCAAGTTCCAAGTTTTTCATATCTTGCATTTGATATTTGGTGACTATTTTGTCTCTAGATGAAGAAGGACATTAGACAAATGCATCTGAAAACATTAGCTCTTTATTTTCTGATACTTGTATGTGGTATAGGACTTGGGGCCACACTAATCTTTTGCCTCTATAGTATACCCTTGAACTCGAAACCTAAGCAGCTTTTCACGTTCCAAATCCCTCCAACCACGCTTGAAGAACAACCCCCGGGACTCTACGCTATAAATCCTCAAGTGCCAAACCAAACAACGGAGAGCACCACCCCGACCACCAACAATATGGTCACCAACACTACCACCGGAAGCATTAAAGAAGAACCAAAACATATAACGGAAACACCAAGACCGTCTATTTCGAGTGCGTTTTTACACGGAATGAGAGACGAACAGTTGTTTTGGAGAGCGTCGATGGTTCCTAGAATTAATAAGACTCCATTCAAGAAGATACCAAAGGTTGCTTTCATGTTCTTAGTAAGAGGGAGGTTGCCATTATCCCCTCTTTGGGCTAGGTTCTTTCGAGGGTATAAAGGCTTTTACTCCATTTATGTTCATACTCAACCATATTTTGTTGGTGAAGTGGCTCTTGAACCGATGTTTCAAGGACGAAGAATTCCCAGTGAGGTATGTTAATCCTCTTTCTTATTTGGCTTTAAGTTGTGTTTTATCTATTAGTTCCATATCTTCATATACACACACACACACATATATATATATATATATATATATATATATATATATCTAATACTCCCTTGGTGCATAGGAAACATCCAATGTTCTTTTTGGTAAGTTTGCCATTGTAATATATAACTTTTTGTCGCTTAGTAACCTTATATAAAGGAGCTTCAGTGGGAAATCTAAAAAAAGAAAAACCGAAGAAATTTGGTTAGGTAACCATTTATCCGGACAGTATGTATGTGTAATCGAAGTTGTTTCTTGGTATTTATGCACATGTACATATTGAACAAATTACTTAGAAATTACTTCATCCGTCCAGTTGAACTGTTACATAGTGTTCCTTAATTTTTCATTTTCTTTTTGCTGGCCCTATAAAATCTTAATAACTAAATGTTAACGTTGCTATTTTAACGTTAATATTGTTTACATAGTTAAATATTTTGTTAGAAGTTATTAATTTTGGCTATGTGATGGGGAACGGATGCTTCCTAGTTCTTTCGTAAAACTGAAGAGGATCCATTCCTACTAGTTCTTGCACTATAACAAAATTGAGTTTATAGTACGCCAAAAGTGTTTTAATGTCCTAATAGACTAATTTATAGGACTAAGTTTGTAGGATCAAATCTTTGTTAATCTTATCTAAAGGTGTTGTAATACGTTTATAGAATGATTATAGGCGTCTTAACAAGCTTTTTAAGACACTTTTGAAACAAAGTGTCTTATTAGCCATTTTATAGGATCTTTTTAGGAAGTGTCCTATAAACACATCTTTTTATAGGATACTTGTTTTATAAGACACTTTTTCAAATAATGTTCTATAAATGTGCTAATAGAAACTTTGTTTCAGAATTTTCCTTAAAACTTTTTACGACACTCCAACACGTCGATCATATAAACTTATTTCAATACCTTTAAGTATTTGACCTTATAAACGTAAGTATAATAAAGTAGTCTATTCAAACACACTTATTTTTAGTATTCTATAAACCATATGTTATTACAGTGTTGGTTTTCAAATCCTTTTTGATGGTTAGGATCACCTACTATGGAATACAATATTAGCATTATTTTTGGAGTTTAGCAAGTATGATGGTTTGTTTTGTCGATGACAGTCATTTATTGTTCATTTTCGATTCATCTTAGAATTTTATGCGACTTAATTATTGTGAATAGATCAACTTGCTTAACAAATACATAACAATCCCGACTTTGAGAATAAGATACGATCGATGATACATGATGCAGGTCGTTACATGGGGAGAAATAAGTATGGTTGAAGCTGAGCGACGTCTATTAGCCAGTGCATTACTCGATTTCTCGAATGAAAGATTTGTTCTTCTCTCTGAGGCATGCATTCCTCTTTACAACTTCTCCATCATCTACCCATATCTTATTAACTCAAAAAAGACATTCGTTGAGTGCTACGACAAGGAAGGCCCCGTGGGGCGTGGACGATACGACCATAAGATGGAACCAGCGGTTACATTGGAACAATGGCGAAAAGGGTCACAATGGTTCGAAGTTGACCGCCACCTAGCCCTAGAGATCATCTGTGACAAAAAATATTTCCCATTGTTTCGAGACTACTGCAAACCTGCGTGTTATTCCGACGAGCATTACATTCCGACATTCTTGAATATAGAGTTTCCGGAGGCGAATTCGGATCGAACGTTGACTTATGTTGACTGGTCAAAAGGTGGACCTCATCCCTACAAGTTTGGAAAATGGGAGGTGACAGATTCTTTGTTGAAACAAATGCAGAATGGAACCGAGTGTGTGTATAATGGAGAGCCCACAAGGGTCTGCTTTTTGTTCGCTAGGAAGTTTGTACCAAGTTCTTTGATTAGGTTATTAGAGCTTGCTCCCGAGGTCATGCATTTTTGAAGTTATTATGTAAAACCCTTTAATTTCAACCAAGATGAACCAATTCTCTTCTACCTTTTCTTTCATTCTTTTTGTATTTTTCTGTTTATTTATATACAAATTTAAATGTTTTTAGCGATTTTGAATGGAAATATATACACCAAGCTGGGCCGGAAGGAGATATATATATTTATACTATATTATAAAACATTTGACAAAAAMTYTTAAAAACTATTTTTTATGCATGAAGTACTGTTTATTGATGCATATTACTTAAATTGCAAGATTACAAGTAATATTGTGTAAATACAACTTATTAAAACTCTATTTTTAAGTTTGTGTAACGAACTGTAGATAAACACAATCAAATACAGGATAAACATCTATTTTAAATATAAAAAATCTAAAATATAATTAAGATAATTATAGAGTTCTAACTGAATATTTAATTATTATCTTTATAAAAAATTATATTAAACCAAAAATAAATTAATTTATTATTAAATCTTAAATTATAATATAAAAATTGAATTAAAGAAGTTACATCAAAAAAACAAAAACTATTAAATAGTTAACTTAATACTAATATCGTATTTTTTTATGTTATCTTCAAATTTATATTTCATTTTAAAATAAAAACATTGTCATTTTCTCAAAACCACATTGATTGAGATAAAAAATAAACTAAATATTAAATGAAGTTTTATCCCGTTACATTGTACGAAACCTTCTATTAATATATATATATATATATCTATACTATATTATAAAGCATTTG